CTTTCAAGACATCTGTAAATAATCATTCTGCAACTTTCCTCTGAATCTCTGCACAGCAATAAGATGGGAAATTCTTTTTTCATTTTACAGTACTACCAGCCTGCAAGTCACCCAGCCTGTAATTAACTCATCTTATCCCACAAGAGGTAAGACACTATTTTATTCATTTCTTGTGTATAATAAGGACATATAAAGGATTTGGACTTGTCTAGCAGTTCTACTTTGAAAAAACACACTTACTAGAGGGAGGCAGGGGAAGAGAAGGAAATTATGCTGGGACTTCATTTGCTACCCACAGAGTGTGTCTAAGAACTACAAGGTAGTGATGTCTGAAGAATAACATGTATCTTAGAAGCAGTATAACTGTATCAGTGTCATGCTGCACTTTTGCTAATAAGCCCTGCTTTTTGGTACAATCAAGTAATTTGGGTGGACAAGAGCACACTGATGTAGTTTTTCTGCTTCCAGTACTAGATCTTGCAGAGCTGATGATGGTCATTCTGTGCACAGAACACTGTGAAGTGCATAGTGCTTTGTGATGTGCTGTAGACCTACCATAGGAGACCATCTAAGGTAGAATTTCTTTCCTGCTGCCAAGCTGTTTGCTGTCTCTCTTATGTAAAATTCAATTATAATTCCACTGACCTGGTCTTAAACCCACTCATAGCTGATGCCTCATATTTAATTGTGGACCAAAGCAGAGTGTGTTTTTTAATCCCTAAATCTTTGACGTGGCAGTAATGTGGTTACACCAGAAGAAAATATTTGTATAATTTATTTACTAGTGAAAAACATGTGAGTCAGTCACTTTATCGCACATTTTCTATTAAAATATATTGTGTTCAAAAACATACTAGTCCTGCTGATTAGCTTTGAAACATGATGCAGTGTCCTCTTAGAGTTGCAAATTCTGTAGGTGCTGGTAAATGATTTGAGTCAAGTGAAGACAGATCCCATCCAATATTTACTTGAACATGTTTCATTAACTAACTTGCTACAATTACTAGATCAAGCTGTTATTATTGATGCCAGGCATCCTTGGACACTGCACAGTCATGTATTTCCTCACAGCTCATTCATGCACACACTCACCACTTAGCTCCCCAGTAGGAGCAACAACCAGGAAGCCAACCCTGACAGGCCAGTGGCTTCTAGTTGCATGTTGAAAAAAACCCTCAGGGGCTCTTGGTTTCATCAGGCAGTATGTATAATGCTGTAGTCTTTACTAGCCTCTTGGATGTCAACCCAATTATAAAACCCATTGTTGATGGTGGTGTGTGCTGGTGGGCTTGGGCAGATTCAGCAGGTTTTGGTGTTGTGGGTTTGGCAGTTCTTGAAGATTTATCAGGGTCACTAGTCTGCAGAGTTTGACAGTTTTGAGGAGACTCTCACAGCATGCACTTTTTCTCTGTTCAGCCCAGGCTGTTTCTCCATCCATACAGAGGGGTACCTGTGCAACCCATTCACATTCCCTCACAAGGAGGGAACATTTATGACATTATGAAGGACTTTGCGCTACTATGCCCATCCTGTACTCCATATACAAAACTGAAAATCTCTCTTCCTTTCCAAACTCAAATTTAATTGTTAAATATGTAGGGAGCTCTCAATTAACTGCAATTAATTTAATGCTTTGCTTTTGGTTACCCAAAATTAATGCTCAAAGACTTAGCTGAGAATCTAATATTGCCTTGCCTTCTGAAATTTCCACTTATGAGAAATGTATTATCATTTTGGGATTCTAATACTGGATTTAAAATTCCACTTCAATTTTTGAAATTCATAAACTTCTATTTTCTTATAAATTATTTTCTTGTACATTTACAAGGCACTGAAACACCATTAAACAGAAACTGTGATAAACATTAAAAAGTCATATGTTTTCATGCAATTGTGTTACATACAAGTTATTTCCAATCAGCACTTTTGGTCACCAAATATTTTTGCTGTGGATTTAAGTTCAGGTAGTCACAATATGTTAGAGTTGAGTGTCAAAAGGGAAAAAAGATCTAAAAAGTGCAGTATCTGTGTCTCAGATCAGCAGGCTAATTCAGAATAGAAATATGTCTGAATGACTACATGGCTGGGAAGTATAAGTTTTTTGATCTAAACTTCTTTATATATGTAAAGTTTCGGTGCCGTCTTCCATGGTATGAATATGTGGGAACCTGTCTCTAAGGCCATTTTCAGTGGAAAATTGGAAAAGTGGTACTGAAATACTGCATGTACTGAGGGTGATGCCTTTTTTTGGGCATTGGATGTTCACTCTTGTCTGTGCAAGGACAGGATCTTGCTGTTCAGGGGACTCAGAGAGGCCAGAATTTCTGTTTCACACAGAGACAGAGTACAGCTAAGCAGCATCTCCATGTGAAACAGTTGTTCTTGGGTATAGTGGCTGCATGGTGCTGTTCACATTGGATGTCCCATTGGATCTCACTGCTCCACTGGGACAACTGCCTTGAGGAGTCAGTCCTCCTGCTTCCACAAGGGAAAGCAGTGGTGGCTGCTGTGGGAAGTCGTTTGTCTCCGAGGCCATGCTCCTGTACGTAGCAGCAGCCAGCCCGGTTTTCCAGTGTTCTGGCCAACCAAACCAGCTTGTGGAACCATAGCTTCTTTGCTGCCACTCACCTGATACCAGTGCTCACCTCAGGGTGGTGCTTTAGGTGGGTGGGACTTTGCCTCTGGCTGGGTGATACAGCTGATCATTTCCTAGTGGATAGCTGTTCCAACCCTATGGAGCAGGGTTGGACTAAGAAGGACAGGAGCCACTTCCTAATAACCCTAACTTTTCCAAAATATTTGTCCAAAAACCTTAAGAATAAAAGTCCAAACAGAAACATCAGCAATTCTTGAAGATATTTGCAATTATGCTAAAGACCCAGAGATGCCTCCAGTTTTGCCATGTGCTTGTGCCCCAAATTCTGAGCTGTCATGTGCTTCCTCCTTAAATCCCATTAGGGATTAAATGAAGGTGTGTCTTAATTATCCTACCAGCCAATCGAGAATGCCTGAGCCACAAAAACATACATAGCAGGTAATAGCAACAAAATCTGTACTCAGCATTCACTGAATACAGAAGAAAACTGTGGGAACAGTGAGTGAAGACTGGAACTACTTTTTTGTAGCTTAATTCCCTAACAGCTAGATTGAAGGCAGAAATCTTTCTTATTCTGTGCATTTTGCATTCGTTTCTGTGCAACGATTCTTCTTCAGTAGGAAAAATGGACAAAAGTGTTTTGCTTGGCTTTCAGTGGAATTTGTAAGAAGTGGTAATCGAAACTAGATGCCAGTACTTAGATAAGGTTTACTTGCCTATCATATAATACATGCTCCACCACCCAGCCTGTCTTAAAAGACAAGAGAAAGTCTGAATCAGATCTTTGGAAGAATGATTAAATGTTTCCTAGAAGAAAGATTCCAGGTTTGATGCCTGATACTTCCTAGAGTGCTAACTCATATACACCAGGCAGCTTATACAGAACTGCAGAAATGATCTGTACTCCATATTTTCCGTCTGAGAGTATATCAATTGCCTTCGACAGGGGTCTGTTTCTCTCTACTGACTATACAAGGGTGCTGAGGTGGTAAAATTAAACTTTAAAATATCACTTTCAGAAGAAGAAACTTATCCTTGTTCTAAGTCTTTATCACCTAAATTGTCAAATTGTCTGTAGTCAAGGGAGAACAGCAATGTTGACAGAGAATGATTCAGGTCACTCTGAGAAAGATGTCTCAAAAAAGATGGAGTTAACTCCTGGAGGTGCCTTTTTTTCCATCAGAAACTGTAGACACCCTGGACCTCCAAATTAAACTGCCAAATTAAAAATAAATTGGAAAGGAAAGGAAAGGAAAGGAAAGGAATAAAATGGAAAGGAAAGGAAAGGAAAGGAAAGGAAAGGAAAGGAAAGGAAAGGAAAGGAAAGGAAAGGAAAGGAAAGGAGAGATTTCTTCAAGGTAAAAAACTGGGGAACTCTTGATAAATTAGTTTTTTAGGAGACCAAGGAAGGCACCTCAATCAGAAATGCACACTGAGATAATGTGGAGCAGTCTTATAGGAGTTTGAAGATGCTAGGAATGAAAGGTTCCTGCACTTCACCTGTGGAAGACTGGTGAGGACATACCAGCAGGGATGTTGTTTAGTTTCTCTTTCTTAGTTTCTCCAATCACATCTCATTTCACTTCCACGTTCTTGACAAAGAAAGCATTTTCTGTTTTCTTTTCTCTGCTTTGAAGTTAGTATAGTATTAGTGTGTTCTTTATTCAATTTGATACATTTGAATATCTTTGCTTGGGTAGGAGCAGGGGACTGCATTTAGAGAAACAGCAATGAAACTAGTATTTTCCCCATTAGCAAGTTTTCAAAACCAGGAAATGACTGAATATAGCTGTCCAAATGACAATCATGGCTTGATTTACAATAAGTAGATAAAATATACTTAACCTTGTCTTTGAGTAGGTATCTTTCTAAAGGGGAGGAAGTGCAAGGGAGAAGCTTGCAAAGGGAAATATTTATAATGCTTGAAGGGTGGCTTTCAACAAAGATACAAGAGTATTCGCTAGGAAGGCATTTGGAGCCTGTAAAATTTTAGACTTTTAAAGCCAGATGAGTCAGTGAGGAACAGCTCTCAATTTCATTTTGATATGTACTTCCGAAAGGCTTGTCTTTGCTCTGAAGCATGCAATTAGAACTGAAGTGACTGTTCCTGCTTGTTAATAAGACCCATTTCTTAACTGTATCCTTGAACTGGCTGATGGGAAAAAATCTTTTTCTTTTATTTTCTAAAGGTGGATCCAGTTAATGTTTATCAAAAAAATATATGTGCTAACACGGCTGAGCGAATAGCACAACATGGCATGACAGAGCAGGAATAACTTGAATTGCTGTTGCCACCAGACTGATCATAAAGCTAGCTTCTGATGGGAGAGATTTAATCCTCTTGAAGACAGTATTGTCATGATATAACATTTTGCCTATCAATCAGAGTTCTCTACAGGTGTAGCCAAAATAAACTGCAGCCATGTCTTCGGATGCTGAGATGGCCATCTTTGGGGAGGCAGCTGCATATCTCCGAAAGTCAGAGAAGGAAAGAATTGCAGCCCAGAACAAGCCTTTCGATGCCAAGTCATCCGTCTTTGTGGTGCACCCTAAGGAATCCTTTGTGAAAGGGACAATCCAGAGTAGGGAATCAGGGAAGGTCACTGTCAAGACTGAAGCTGGAGAGGTGAGGGGAAAAAACAGTCTGAAGGACACCATTGATTCCCAGTCTCATCTCTTAGCTGACATACATGGTTCTCCTCCTTCTGACAGACCCTGACTGTGAAGGAAGATCAGGTCTTTGCCATGAACCCTCCCAAGTACGATAAAATCGAGGACATGGCCATGATGACCCACCTCCACGAACCCGCTGTGCTGTACAACCTCAAAGAGCGTTACGCAGCCTGGATGATCTACGTAAGTACCAGCAGCAGTCTTCCTTTGGGTAGCTAGGAGGAACTGCTCTGCCAGGCTAAGTGGAAGCCAACGTGCTGTCTCCCTTCCTCGCAGACCTACTCGGGTCTCTTCTGCGTCACTGTCAACCCCTACAAGTGGCTGCCGGTGTACAACCCAGAGGTGGTGTTGGCCTACCGGGGGAGGAAGCGCCAGGAGGCCCCTCCACACATCTTTTCCATCTCTGACAGTGCCTATCAGTCCATGCTAACTGGTGAGTGGCTGTAACTCCCTTAAGGTAATTATACTGTGAATAGCTTTCAGGGGAATAACAAGTTGTGTCTAAACTCTCAGTTTGGATTGTTTCTTTCCAGGGTCATTTCCCAGATCACCCATATTTGTTACTCTAAAGATTCTAGATGTCCCTTTAAGCAGAATCTCAAAGAAGCTGTGTTTAGCTCTAAGGACTATTACAATAAGCATAGAGTGAACTCCTCCAGATCTGTTTTCATCTTCTTAAGTCCCCCAATGATATCATATCAGGTTTAGCACTTTAATATACAATTTCATGGTTTTTTTACTGCACATCTGAGCTTTATGCTGCAAAAACATTATTTCAGTGGGCAATAAAGCCATTTTCTCCTTCTTTTGCACACAGTATAAAAAAGATACTAAGAACATTAAGAAAACAATTAGAATGTTTCACAGAATCATAGAATCATAGAATTATAGAATGGTTTGGGTTTGAAGGGACCTTAAAGCCCGTCTAGTTCCAACCCCCCTGCTATGGGCAGGGACACCCTCCACTAGACCACGTTGCCAAAAGCATCATTCAACCTGGCCTTCAACACTTCCAGGGATGGGGCCTCCACAACCTCTCTGGGCAACCTGTGCCAGTGCCTCACCACTCTGACAGTAAAGAATTTCTTTCTAACATCTAATCTCAATTGACCCTCCTTCAGCTTGAAACCATTATCCCTTGTCCTGTCACTACACTCTCTGATAAACAGTCCCTCTCCAGCTTTCCTGTAGGCCCCTTCAGGTACTGGTAAGCTGCAATGAGATCTCCCCGGAGGCTTCTTTTCTCCAGGCTGAACAACCCCAAGTCTCTCAGCCTGTCCTCATAGGAGAGGTGCTCCAGCCCTCAAATCAGCTTCCTGTCAGAAAAGTGGCCTATCTCTTGTGGCACTGTGCTGTAGCTACCCTGGCCTACCAAACATTTAAGGAGTTCCTTGGTGTAGAAGTCTCTGTGGCTGCCTATGGGACATGGTGGGGTGGGATGCTGGAGTGCAGCTCTGAGCAGTTCCAGTGGAAGTAATGAAAACTAAAAATGACAAAAGTCTTGACTTGCATGTACTTGCCTACTCATGTGGTAAAATTGGAGCGCACAAGGCTGTGTGATGTGCATAATATGCTGGAAACAAGAAGTTGGGCATGTGTAAGGAATAGTGTTGTGGGCTTGAGTGAGTAAAAAATTAAGGTCAGGTATGGCAACATTGTATAGGTGTTGAGTGTCGAGCCATGGGTTATTCCAGATGCTAGTGAATTGCATGCAGATGACAGTGATTTCTACAGGGAACTGGCGGTGGATCATGTGGATTTATGTCTCTCTGGGCTAATGGCTTGAATGAATACAAATCACTCCCTGGGTTACACTACAAAGTGAGTTTAGATATACCTATGTAGCTTTGGTAAAATGTCTACTTTAATCTTCTGCAGCCAAGAATATACATGCCTGAAAGAATAATGCCTAAAGTACAGAAAGAGATAACATGTTTTCAGTGGGCTGATGGCTCCTCTGATGGGCCTGGAAACAGCTGGGACAGGGTATTATTTGGACTCCCCCACTTGCCATTGACTCTCTATACTGGGAGGGTGCAGATGAGCTTTTATCATGTGACCTGATATTAACCTGAAATTTTAATTTCATTTGAATATTTCCTCTTTTTTTTTTTCTCACTGTGTAACTTTTAAAACAAGATCTGATTTTTTGCAAGAAATCTAGCAAAAAATCAAAAGAGAAAATGAAGATGGTGAAAAAAACATTAATAGAAAACATTAATTCTTCTGCATTTGATAGAAAGATGAATGAACAAAGGAAAGGAAGAAGAAAGAGGGAAAAAAAGTGTTGCTGAAATGTCAATTTTTTGATAGAATCCAAAATCTTTCTAGGGCGGAGTACTACTGAGGCAAGTTACTTAACTGCCAAACATATGTTTTTGTCAAACAACTACCATGATATCTTATTTTTAGACCATTTTTAGTATTTTCTGTGTTGTTCATTGGCATTACAGTTTCTTTGTTTCTGCCTCTAATACAGATCATGAAAACCAGTCGATCCTGATCACGTATGTACACCCCTGCTCGGGTCCCTGTAGGGCTGCCTGGTGCCAGGGGACCTCCTGCCTGACCACATGCTCTCTGCTTCTCTCTTTGGTTTGGCAGCGGAGAATCCGGTGCAGGGAAGACTGTGAACACAAAGCGTGTCATCCAGTACTTTGCAACAATTGCAGTGAGTGGGGAGAAAAAGAAGGAGGAGAAGCAACAATCAGGCAAAATGCAGGTGAGTTACCAATTACTAACATTTTGTCTAGTTCTGCAGTTATTATGTGGATTTAACTGTGTGTTTTAACAGTAATTATCCTGTAGGGAACGCTTGAGGATCAAATCATCAGTGCCAACCCACTGCTGGAGGCCTTTGGAAATGCCAAGACTGTGAGGAATGACAACTCCTCACGCTTTGTGAGTTTTCACGCAAAACCGGCTTCAATTTACAAGTGGGAAGAAGGGTATTGTTATTGAGTGCTTCCTGAAATTCAACAATAAGAAATTTATATTCATGTTTCCTTAAATATTTCCTCATTTTATAGCTAAGTATTGAAACAAAAGACAAAATACACATATAAATGACAGAAATAAAATTTAAAATGGAACCTTAAATGTACATTCAGTGCAAATATACCCTGAAATGGTAAACTGGTAGAATGATACATACATCTGTTTTCACTGTATAAAATGTTCATTTCCTAGTTCAGCCCTCAGCAGAACTTTATTCAAATCTAGATCAGATTGTTCTGGGCCTCATACAGTCAAGTTTTGAAACAGCCTCTGGGTACCTTTCCTAAAACTGCAATACACTAATATTAAAAATGTTGGTGTTTGTGTCTAGTCAGAATTTCTCTTACTGCAGTGTGTGATGTTGCCATTTGTGCTTTCATAATAAACCTCTAGCTCTGACTTCTCTATGACTCCCTTTAGGAAGTAGAGCTTCCCTTCTGTTGTCCGAACTCCATCCACATATCCTCTCCTTAAAACTGTCATCTCTTTTTTTTGTTTCCCCCTTTCTTAAGGGTAAGTTCATCAGGATTCACTTTGGTGCCACAGGCAAACTGGCTTCTGCTGACATTGAAACATGTAAGAGACCCTCCTGGCCTGATCACGTTCCTTCCTCCCTTTCCACCTCAGTGTACTCTCTCAGACCTAACTCTGTCCTACTGTCTTTGACAGATCTGCTGGAGAAGTCCAGAGTCACTTTCCAGCTCAAGGCAGAAAGAAGCTACCACATATTTTATCAGATCATATCCAACAAGAAACCAGAGCTAATTGGTAGGAAGTATTATGAATTCTTTGATGGAATCCAATAACATTTATCTTCATTCTTATGCCCAGATATGTCCTATTCCTCTTTGCAGACATGCTCCTCATTACCACCAACCCATATGACTACCAATTTGTGAGTCAGGGGGAGATCACTGTTGCCAGCATTAATGATCAGGAGGAACTGATGGCTACAGATGTAAGTGACACAAAGCATATTGATATGGTGAAAGTTCCATTTAATGACCCAGAGGTTTATTTGACTGATTCTGTTGCCAGAGTGCTATTGACATCCTGGGCTTCACCGCTGATGAGAAAACAGCCATTTACAAGCTGACAGGGGCTGTCATGCACTATGGGAACCTGAAGTTCAAGCAGAAGCAGCGTGAGGAGCAGGCAGAGCCGGATGGCACAGAAGGTATTAGGATAATTTGCTATTGATCTGTCCGTACTACCAGCAAAATTTTGCATTGTGAGACCAACAGAGTCAGTAGAAAAGGTGTTTTTTGAAAATGGCAAGCTTTTTTCCTTCTAAGAAGAGACTTTTTTTTTTTTTTTTTTTTTTAAGAAATTGAGTTAAGCATTCCAAGGACAAAAAAAAAGATTGCTTAGATGTCTTCTTCTCATTGTCTTTAAGCCTGAATTCTAAATTTTTAGGTTTCTTGGCTCTGAAATCTCCATTGTCTCACATCACATTGTCTCTCCTCTATCCTCCCAGTTCTAGGGAATGACATTGAAAGAAACAGAGAGATATGGTTTATCAACACCTGACTCTGAAGCTGGTGTCACCAGCAGAATTTTTGGGTTTTCAGTCATGGGATGATCTCAGGCCTGCTGGGGCCTGATGGGATTCACCTTTCTCAATGGGGCAAAAATATTTTTGTTCATGAGCTAGTGTGACTGATTGAAAGAGATTTAAATTCCATTTGGAGGGGGAAGGGATAAAATTAGGCTTACTAGACATAAGCTATGTGATAGCATGACAATGTCTGAGGGATAGTGTGCTAGTGAGAGCTTACATTCTTCTCCATAATGTACTGAGTACTCTGGAACACTATTTGAAGTATTGGCACACTATTGCATGCAGCATGAGGAATAAACAAGAAAAAGAAGCAGCTTTGTCTCAGTCCCAGAGCTATGACATCATTAGCATAAATGAGACTTGGTGGGAAGAGTCCTGTGACTAGAGTGCTGTGATTGATAGTTATAGGCTTTTCAGGAGTGAGAAGCAGGACAAACAAGGTGGAGGGATAGCACTGCATGTTAAGGAGAAGTTGGACTGTACAGCGCTTGCAGTTGGGGACAATATGATTGAAAGCCTCTGTGTAAGGATTAGGGGTAAAGCTAATAAAGCAGATGTTGTGGGAGTCTACGTCAGATCACCCAGCTAGGATGGTGACACTGATGTACTATTCTATATGAAATTAAGGGAAATCTCAAATCAGTTGCCCTTGTCCTTATGGCTGACTTCAACTTTCCAGATGTTAACTGGGGCTATCATGCAGTAGACATGAACAGGTCCAGGAAATTCCTGAAACACGTTGAAGATAACTTCTTGATACAGGTACTAAGGGAGCCAACTGGGAAAGGTGCCCTCCTGGATCTGTTGTTTGTAAATAGAGATCTTCTTGTAGATAATGTGATGATTGGTGGCTGTCTTGGCTGTAGTGATCAGGAAATGGTTACATTTAAAATCTTTGGTGATATGAGAAAAACTGTCAGCAGAGCTACTACCCTGGATGTCAGGACTTTAGGATGCTCAAGGAGCTAATTAATAAGATCCCTTGGGAATCTATTTTCCAGGGTATTGAGGTCCGTAAGTACTGGTCACTTTTAGAGAGCCATCTTTTAAGAGCACAGGAGCAGACAATTCCAATGTGCTGGAAGTCAAGCAAGCAGGGCAGAAGGTGGCTTGACTGAACAGGGATCTTCTTCTAGAACTTAGTAGGAAAAAGAAAGTGTATGGACTTTGTAAGCAAGGTCAAGCTACATAGGAAGACTGCAGAGATGCTGTTCACCACTGTAAGGAGAAAATTCATACAGCCAAAGTTCAGTTGGAGTTGAAATTGGCCAGTACTGTACTGGATAACAAAAAAGGCTTTTTAAAGTATGTTAACAGCAAAAAGAGGACAAAGAAAACAGTGGTCCATTACTTGATGAGGTTGGTCAGCTCACAAATAGGGATAAAGAAAAAGCAGGGACATTTAATGCCTTCTTCACCTCTGTCTTTAGCACCAATGATGGGCCCTGGGACGCACTGAGCCCAGGGTTGGAGGACTGAGACTAGGGGAGTGATAAGCTACTAACTGACTTCAAACTTGTACTGGATTTGCTGCTGCAACTGAATGCACATAAGTCTATGGGCCCCAATGGGATTCATCCTAGGGTACTGAAAGAGTTGACCAATGTTGTAAGACCTTGCTCATTATTTATCAGCTGTCTTGGGAATCTGGAAAGGTCCCAGTTGACTGGAAGCTAGCAAATGTTATTCCAATTTTCAAACAGGGCAAAAAAGATGACCCTGGTAATTATAGGCCTGTCACTTTGGTGCCTGGTAAAGATACGGAGAAGATTATTCTGGGCATTATTAAAAAAACAGTTGGAAGACAATGCAGTCATCAGTCAAAGCCAGCATGGGTTCATGAAGGGAAAGTCATGCCTTATTTAATGTACTTTTATGACAAGGTTACCTACCTAGTGGATGAAGGGAAGGCAATGGATGTGGATTTTTTTTGTTTTTTTATTTTAGCAAAACTTTTGATACTGTCTCTCACAGTATCCTTCTGGACAAAGTATCTAGCATACAGCTAGACATGTACACAATACAGTGAGTGAACAATTTGCTGAAGGGTTAGACTCAAATGGTTGTAGTAAATGTGGTAACATCTGACTGGCGACCAGTCACTAGTGGTGTTCCCCAGGGCTCAATTTTAGGTTCAATTCTCTTCAGTGTTTTTTTCAATGACCTGGAAATGGGAGTTAAGTGCACACTAAATTAAGTTTGCCAGCAATACTAAATTAGGAGGAACAAGTGATTACCTTGAGTGTAGAGAGGTCTTACAGAGAGATCTTGATAGAGTACTGGGCAATTGCCAACCGCATGAAATTTAACAAGGACAAATGCTGGATTCTGCACCCGGGACAGTATAATCTTCAATGTACATGTAGATTGGGGGACAAGAGGTTGGAGTGCAGCCCTGCATAAAGGGATCTGAAGGTTTTAGTTGATGAGTCAGCAATGTACCCTGGTGGCCAAAAGGACCAACCGTATCCTAGGGTGCATTAAGCACCATATAGCTAACCGGTTAAAAGAAGTGATTGTACCACTATACTCAGCATGAGGATAGCTTCACCTCATGTACTGTGTACAGTTTTAGGCTCTGTAGTACAAAAAGGATGTAAAAATATTTGAATATATCCACTGGAGGGCATAAAGGATGGTGAAAGAACTAGAGGGCATGACTTATGAAGAACAGATGAGGTTACTAGGTTTGTTTAGTTTAAAGAAGAGGAGACCAAGAGGTGACCTCATTGATGTAAACTTCCTGATGAGGGGGAGGGAAGAGTGAGGTGCTGATCTCTTCTCTCTGGTGTATGGTGATAGGATGTGAGGGAATGGCTTAAAGCTGTGTCAGGGGAAGTTCAGATTGGATATTAGGAAAAAAGTTCTTCACTGAGAGGGTGGTCAAGCACCAAAGTGTTTGTGGCCCCAAGCCTGTCAGCATTCAAGAAGCATTTGGACAATGCTCTTAGATATATGGTTTAATTTCTAGGTTGTGCTGTGTGGATACAGGAGTTAGACTTGATAATCCTTGTGGGTCCCTTTCAAACCAGGATATTCTATGATTCTTGTGTTGGATTTGCATGGCAAGGTTTTGTTAGCGGGGGAGGCTACAGGAGTGGCTTCTGTGAGA